CATGTGAAGGAAATCGCAATGAGATAGAATCTAACTCGACATCTAGGGGTGTTTGACAACATGGTTGGTTTTGTTTTTGAAAATAAAAACAATTGCCATATTGGCAAAAACAATATAATTTTGCTGATGTGGCAGTTGCTTTTATTTTTAAAAACAAAAATAACAATGTCATCAAACACCCCTATCGTCGAAACTCGAAATCAACTTTCATGCATTGTGTAAAGGAAATAATCTGCAATTGACAAAACAGATAGGAAGTAGCCAAGGACCATGGGTCGTATAGGAGAAACAATGGCAGGAAGAGAAGCAATAGTTATCAAAGGAGAAGAATAAGATCCTATGGAAGATCAAAATCAACGTATGGACAGAAGAGAGCGCATCCTTAAGGCTCTGTTTGGGAAGAGTACAAATACAAATATGTAGAGTGCAAAACCTTATATTTTGTATTGTTTTATACCTATTTGTAGTTACCCACCCATATTGCATCCATAATCCAATTCCTTCAGCATGGTTGAACATATTAAAAACGCAAAGAATATCAGAAAGGCAGTTTTTAAAGACATTGGGACACATTTTAGAAATGGTGAAAAAATTAAGATACACATAAAAACACTATATGCATGTTTTAATGGATTTTATGACCCCATTTGCTTTTTGGGAAGTTATTTATCTGAGCAAGTGTTTCTTAGGAAATATTTATCTGGCAAGTGCATTTACCCATGTTCTTTTATTTCTTAGGAAAATAAGAAAATTATCAATTTAGCAATAAAAAACCATTATTAAAAGATACAATTCTTTCCCATCTGTGTTGTCAACTTTCCCCCCATGTGAGTCCACCTGGGAGATGGGTATCACTTATCCGAGTACAGGGAAAATAAATTTTCTATAAAACTCACATAAATCTGGAAAAAAGAACATGAGTATAGAAACGAAATCCCATTAGCCAACTACACACAAAAAAAAAAGGCCCTTCCATTTCAAGCAAGTACTATGGAAAACATAGTGGCTCAGGAGTTATCTCTATAGACCATATGTCAATTGTCTTCACATCAATGCAATATAAAATCTCAACTCTCAAGCATGCTTTTATGTAAAAGTAGGGGTGATCATTTATAGCCTGACCAGGCCCACATAATGTATAACATAGATTTTATACATACATCATATGTTTTATAATATTAATATTGTTATATATTCAAATCTATAATACTAGAAATACATTTTGATGAATACCATCATATATTTCTAATATCATAGTCGAACCCTAATTTAAATTTAAAGAATAAGTCATAAGCCCAGAACCTTGAGGTGTAATGTGGGTCATGTCGGGCTGATCCATGGGCCTGGCAAACTGTGCTTGCCTGGTACAAATTCCCTAAGAGGGAAGCCCCGCACGGGCAGGGCCTGGGCCTAGTGGGCTGTAGGTTGGGCTGGGCTGCAGGTCAAGTCACAGGCCAACATGATCTTTTTAAGAAAAAATAGAAAAAAAATAATGAAAAATTAAAATAAATTAACAAGATAGACAATAATTTAAAATTTTATTGATGTATACAATTGTTTGTCTGAAATAATAAAATGAAGTTGAAAAAATTACAATAAAATTGAAAATAAAAATTATATTCAAACATGAACATGGCCCATGGGCCAAAAACCCTTGGCCCAGCCCAGCCCAGCCCAGCCTTGGAGGCCGTGCCATACCAGGCACGGCTCATTTTACGCCTCTACCAGAACCCGACTTGGCCCATGTTCACAAGCCATGGTTATATTAATACAACATTTGGATAGGAAATAAGATTGATGGAATCTTTATCTCAATATAATGCAAAATACCACATTAGTACATTGTCTCAGGTATGGTCAACATCTCAGACTATATGCGTTGTTAGATCAAGTTTAGAACTTTAGATTAAAAACTGCACTGAGTAAATTCGGGCATTTCTGGATGTTTTTGGCTTCTAATAAGCAACAAGTCCAATAAGAGTTTAATATAAGCACTCTCAAATGTGACATTAATTTTTTCTTTTCTTTTTTTTTTTTTTTTGTCACGCACCACTAATAATCCCTTCTTTCCCCAAATCAGTGGTTGCAAGAATCAATTCTACATCAATACTGGAACGAACCGGCTAACATACCAACGAGCACCACAGCAATTTGCTTCCTGCCTTATCTTTCCAAACAAATAACCTTGTTCTTACTAGGGGTGTCAATTGGACCGGATTTGGTCCAATCCAAACTAGTCCTATATGAATCAATTATAGATGGATCAGGTCCAATTCGATAAATAATTTGGACCATTTTGGGCTGGACTCGGACCTTTGTGTAGCCATGCTAAACAAAGTTGGCTCCATCATTGAGTAGTTGGTATTGAGGTTTTTTTCAGTTTTTGGTGTTTAAAAACTTTTAAATCAACTAAAATTCTTGTACTTGGTATAGGGAGATTTATTCAGTGGTCTGAAGGAGGAAGGAGATGAACAGTATTTATACCATTATTTGATATTTTTTTAAAAAAATTATCTTATTCTAGAAGTTATATTAAAAAGATTATTTTTATTGATAATAAGACCCAAAAATTGTTCTTTATCAGCAATAATCCCCCAAAAAAATCCAAAGATAAGCTAAGAGATAGCAGATTTGCAGAGACAGTTTCATAGGAAAAATGAAGTGAAGACCTTTCGTGACGTGACTGGTATAGTGGGACCCACAATTTTTCCATCGAGGATGCTGTGCTCTTCAACTCCCAATTGGTGGATTCTCATGTCCCGTATGCTGACCACAAAGCATGGAGATGTTCCCAATGTGCTGCTGTAGTGTGTTGTGCACAAGATATAGTGAGCATTTTGTGGTCAGCGGATCCAAACACCATCCTGACCATTAGACACTACAGCCGTACATATGAGAACATATATGAATGACAACTTAAAATAGGAGAGATATTCCCGATGTATATTGTGGCCTGCATCTTGTGGTCAGCAGATCTGGACTTGGAACTCTCATCTCATTCACTTGGTTGGTGATGGAAATGGGTCTGGTTGTTTCTTGGCCCAAGACAACTGGGCTTGCTGGTTAGGGGTGCAAGTCGGGTGGAATGGGCCGGGTTTATGGTCAGCCCAGTCCTAAAATTTGGGCTTAAGGCCCGAGCCTGGATCAAGGGGGGGGGGACACATCACTGTTTTCCCCAAATAGGTGGTTGCGGGATCCAATTCCACATCAATGCTGGAGCGAACCAGATAACATACCAACGGCAACAAGCCACCCAAATCGGTCCTCTATACCCATAACACCCCAGAAGCCAGAGCAGGGAGGGAGGCACGGGCCCAACCTATAGATTGGCATAATTTTTTGGATAAATTTCTGAAACATCCCCTGAAGTTTTTGATTGTTGCTAAAATCTCCCGTGATATTTTTGATTGTTGCTGAAACCTCCCCTGAAGATTGGTAATTATAATCATCTCCCCTGATCTTTAACTTTCTGACATAGATGCAAGTAGACCCCCTGTGTTAGAATCCTCTTACAAGAGGAGAGGGATGAAAAAAGTCCAAAATACCTATGCAATTACTATTGAGGTTGATTTTAATAGGAAAAAAACAATATAAACTTTATAAAGGACAAAAGAAAATAAGAGAAATCAATGTTGCACTTTACCTTTGAATGATTGATATGAAGAGTAAATTTGGAAATTAAAACAATTTCGAAAAAGAGATCGGAAGGGCCTGGGGAAGGGATTGATATGAACAGAAAATTTGGAAAATAAGTATTTTGGACATTTTCATGCCTCTTGTTAGAAGATTCTAATAGAGGGGGCCTACTTGTAACTGTGTTAAAAAGTTCAGTAGATGATTGCAATTACCAAACTTCAAGAGAGGTTTCAGCAATGATCAGAAACTTCAGGGGAGGTTTTAGCAATTTACCCTAATTGTTTAAGAAAAAATTGGAAAAATAATAAGCCCATCCCGGCCCGGGGGTGCAGACACAGTACTGTAGCATGTGGACCATGTACAACCCACTTTATGGCCCAACACGTTTTACACCTATCTCCATTACAACCAACCAGAGAAATTACCAACTGAGACATCCTTAGATGGGGGTGTTCATGGTCTGCTTTGATGTGGTTTAGAGAATCTTAGGCCAAACCAGTAATTTACGGTTTGAGAAATTCCCAAACCAAAACAATTCATTTTGACATGGAAACCAAACCATTTTGTTACGGTATGGTGTAGTTTCTAATATGGTTTGGGGAACTTTGGACCATTCTTTGATTCTATTGGGCTTTGAACAATTAAAAGGCCCAAATAGCACCCCTAAAAATTAAAACTTAGAAGTTAGAACTTTTATTTTGTTAATTTATTATAAAATAAAAGTTTATTATATATTTATAATTTTATACATTCGATTTAGGTAGATTATATAAATAAAATATTTATACATCATTTATTTATATAATTATATTGTATATATATAATATTGGTGTACGGTTAGATTTGGTTTATAAAGTCCAAGAAACCAAACCAAACCAAACCAAACCAAACCGCAAATTTGGTTTGTTTCGATTTGATTTTGCGGTTTGAACCAAACAAAGAACACCCCTACCATTAGATGGTTTATTTAATTTATGTATCGAATGCTTTATAAGACTACTTGATAATTTGAAAGTTAAGCCATTATATAACCCTTGTAGTAAATGTATCCCTCTTTTTTACAAAATACAAATATATATATATATATATATATATATATATATATATATATATATATCTAAAAACCGTTGAATTAGTCAACGACCCATTGACCCGGACAGTCAAACTGTTGACCCGTTCAACGGTTTTTAGCCATTTTTTTATTTTTAATTATTTTTAATTTTTTTTGTCAGAACAGGCCGCCTGTTCGAATTGGACGGTCAAACCATCGACCCAGAAACCGGTAGCCAGAATGGTTCCATTTTCGGGTTGTTTTTTAAAACCATGATATATATATATATATATGACATTGAACAGCTCCAAAATTCAAGCAGAAAAAAGAGGGAAAACAAGTGCTGATTCTAAGCATTCCCTTTTTCTTTGGATTGGTTATATTTTTACAACAGTGTGAATTTCTCCTATATTCTTGAAGCTTCTGGGACTCTCTCCCACACACAAGCACGCATTTACAAGAATTGCTTCCATGTAGGAAAAAAAGACAAACCTAATGTCCCAGAACACTGGATCAAGAAGAAGATTAGGCAACCAAATGTAGCTATGACAGATTAGTAGAATGAAGAGGCCGTGGTCAAGATAGCTGAATGGCCATCTGCTGTAGAAGTAATTTCTTCTGAGTTGCATTAATTACACCACTGCATTCAGCATCTGCCAAAACTTCTGTCATTATTGCAGCAGCATGCCCTGTGGGTTCCTCCTCAGTTGCCCTCCTTAACATGAACATCTGATAAGTGAAACAAATACAGGCTCGCTTGAAAACTAAGAACATACACTTAATTTTTAATGAAGCTATGATTAACATGAACTATAAAAAAATGAAGCTAGAACTAGCATTTTAAGCAGGTTATGGTTGATTAAATCAAAATAAATAGAACTCAACTGAAACAGCAGGTCTGTTGTTTCCCAGGTAAATCTTTATTCTAACTGTTGTGCATATAAGCCTATATCTTGATGATTTATCCCATTATAACAGAAGGTAATTGTGCAGAAAATGTTGCTAATGGTAACCACTTGAACCCTGAATGTCTTTTATTCAGAGAGGCAAGTGCTTTGAATTCACAGCATATGCCACTTGCCATAGCATTGAAAGTTCTCTAGTAAAGGAGACAGTCATTTTCCCTTTCTACCAGAAAAAAGAGAGAGTAACAGTCATAGAAGGTTGTTCTGGCTGTTATCTTAAGATTCATCTTTGTACATAACCTAGGTATGTAACATAGATACTTCAAAATTCAGATTGTATTTCTGGACATTTGTGTTTAAGGCTCACCTGAGTAGCAAACTCAACTCCATGAAAATATTATATTATTTTCACATCTTCCATATGTGTTCACATGTGCATGTGCTAATACATGTCTCTGTGCTATGGAATGAAATTTAAGAAAATATACCTGTCCATGATGTGTAATTTCTATACAACCAGGTTGTTGGATAAATGGTTCCCCATCTATCTGAACAGGGAAGGGGCAGGAAGTGTTTATTCTTATAACCTCTCCTTGGGCTAGCCTTCTAGCCTGTGAAAGCCCAACCTGCAGAAGATAAAAGACCTCGTGAATCAATAAACAGAAATTGCATTTAAAATTAGCTTGGGCCTTGGGAGCTAAGAAAATTCAATAGAACTTTTATAAAAACAAAGAAAACTACGAACTCTTTAAAGCAATGGCATTCATGACCATTGATGTTCTAAAAATACTGGAAGCACACCTTCAACTTTGCATTTTTCTGTTTATTACTTATTTATTAACAGGGGCAGAAAATAAAAGTTGAAGGTAAAGTTAGAAGAAAAGTTATACCCGAAGTTTTCCCAGGTGCCATGCTCCACAGACAGAAACAACCTCCAGCATCTTATCATGCATGCACTGAAGATTGAAGTCATCATCATGTTCATAGTCATTTTGCCAAAGATCTACTCCAGCCATGTAACTGCCAATGTTGAGCACAATTACTCCCTCAGCATCCTGTTGAATAAAGATTAAAAAAAGAAAAAGAGATGAGATAAGAGAGGAACTGAAGAAAAACCATATACCTTTTGCAACAAAGTTTTGGATCAAACATCATAGGAGTTATGACTTCACCTTAGGGATATCAACATCTTTTCCATCTACTTCAAGACAAACTTCCCATGGTAGATCTGCACATGTTCTATCCATTATATCCTTGGCACCTTCTTTAGCATAACGTAATTTATTCACAAACTGCTAAGTGAAAAATTGGTTAGTTTACAAGATGGAAAAGAGACACAACTTTAAATAGCAGAGACATGGATATGGGGAGCCACAGTAATGGTTCGGCATACACATTCATATTGACACTTAAGCCAATAAAACATGGTAGCAGCATGCACTTAAAGTTGTATAACCTATTCTCTTAGATAATATTTTGAGAATCCTGCTGGAATGAAAAGTTTACAGTTTGGATCATCAAGCAGTCACCAATATAGTTTGGTCTAACGGCTAGACCTTCATTTGGAAGGCAACCATTTAGATTGTCAGAGACAACTTTGAACTGTAATGCATCAGTGGTACTGTATTGCAATATTCTATTTAATACTCCAGTGCATCATTTATAATGTCAAAATGATTTCTGCCACAGAAAAGCTATACCATACCATCCAAAGTTAGACTTAAACATATCAGTGTTTGAAGAAAGATCTGCAAATACATGGCAAAACATGCAATTGGAGTATACAAGAAAGAAATATCAGTACCTGGCTATAGAATTTATCAGGATTCTCTTCACGATTTAAGTGAAATTCATATGCAAGCTTTGCATCACACCCAATACCTGTGCAGAAAAATGAAAAAAAAAAAAATACAATTCCTATTAGTGGTAAACAGATTCAAGCAAAAAATAACAATAATAACATCAGCAAGCATACCCAAATAGTTCATCATGAACTTTGATTGTGCTTTTTTAGGACTCTTTTCTTGGTTTCCTCCTTTGATATTAATCTTCCAGCGATCTAACATTGTCACTGCTGCATGATTAATGTCATCAAGAACTGTAGCTACCCCACCTAGTCTTGCAACAGAAGACAAACCTCCTCCCCATCTCAAAACCCTAGACAGGTCATTTCCTGTGCCCAGAGGAAGTATGGCAACAGGTGGAGGAGATTCAAAGTTGTGCCTCTCAATGGCATCAAGAACCCATGCTACAGTACCATCTCCACCACAGACCAGAACCCTAAAATACTGAACGGCATCAAACAACTTCAACCCAGCCTCAGGCCCCTGGGAAGGACTGAGTTCAAAAATCTGCAGTTGATCATGGCAAAACCAAGATTACGATAAATGATATTATCTAGAAATTATGTTTAATTCATATATGCTGTTAACTACAAATTATAAAAGATCTGATATCAATGAATCAACATACAAACCACGTGTATTTTAATTGTTGCTTTTATAACTGTCCATTGAACAGAATCCACGAGTCAAATAATCTCTTAACTCCAACAAAAAAAAAATGTATGACAAAGGTCAAGGAATACAAAGTGAATGTATAATTTCTGAAGCAATAAGGATTCACAGTCATTTTGCTTGTAGAAAGATCCATGTAGAACAATAGTACAATTGATTGAGGCTTTTCTGCCCAAAAAGGACGTATTTCAGGAGAGAAATAATGAGAGAGCTCCTGCAGAAAAATATGAAACCTGTTGAAGCCCTCATCCTAAAATTTAAGTAAACAAAAACTAAAATAAAGGTACCCTTCAGCAGAACGAGTTGATTTTCTGTTAGAGACATGACTTGTTTTTGTGATGTTTAATTGTAGCAAGTGAGAGAAAGCAAGGAAGAAGAAGAGAATATAGGTTGGTTGACAAAGTCAAGCTACCCCCACTCTAGATATTTCATTGGTTCTAAACAAATGAGGGGGAAAGACATTAGTACCTTTCTACAAGAAGAATAATGACATATCACTAAATTGTATACATAAAAACCTAAATATACACCTACAACTCCACTCCTTGTCAAGTTGGTGCAAAAGTATCAATTCATACCCAACTTGTCAATAATCTCATACAGATGCAGGCAAATCTTGCCAACTCCTTTAGTACAAATATTTACTAGCTGTGAACTTTGAGAGTGTACCAAGTGAGAAGAGAGAAGAGGAGAAGACAACGTAAAACAGAGAATACTGGTTGGTTGATCAAGTTGCACAACCCCCAATCCCAAAATCTTACTAGGTCTAAAACAAATGAGGAGAAAATACATTGATGCTCCTCTATAAGAAGAATAATGACAGATAGTTTATTGTATACATAAAAAACCCAACTATACTACTACAGATCATAATCTCAATGTAAGGCCACTGAAAGGACCTCAGGCAACCCACTAAAGCATGAAATCTAGGATCTACAAGAAGATGGATCCTATTCAAGGAGCAGATAACCATATGTATAAATTCATGCTAACTTGTAGTTAATATAAGGATTCTTCAGCCTGTTCAATGAATGCCTATAACTCAAAACTAAACCAACTAACCTTCTAAGGGGGAATTAGTTTAAGGAGAACTGTTTCTAAATTTCTAATATAAACTACATGCAACTAAGAAGATTTTCTTTCTCATAGTGAGATGCACTTTAAAAAGCATTACATTTCACAAGTCAATTAGGAAAGCTCAGATGGCACATTGGGATTCATCAGTCATCACAGATTTGGTTAAATTATGTATGACACGACCAAGTCTTGGAGGCTTTAGAAAAGGTTCAACCAAGCCTATCCTCACTAAAATCAAGTTAAGTCACTGAGCGCACCAAATTTTCTATGCAAACTGCTGGCTGCAAGTGTCAAATGCCAAAGGGATATTTGCATGAGGTTTGAAACTTGGAACTAAAATGACTAGCTTGTCACAAAATCTTGAGTATTAAAGTTTTAGTGTACAATTTCAACATGTAAATTTAATTTAGAAAATTGGATATGAAAGTTCAATTTCTTCAAAATTTAATGTCATTTCCTAGTTCAACACTACCAAGTTGGTTAATGCAAACACATCGAGCAGCACAACGCCCATTCAATAATACCAAAATACATAAATGACATGCCTACCTTGATTTTTGTAAGTTATTTTAACATTCTAGAAATGGATATCAGAGAAAGCAGCATATAATAAAATCATAAAAGCATCAGTAAACAATCCAATAATGAAGAACAGTCTATATGATTAAACAAAAAAAAAAAATCACCTGGACAGGATTTAATAGCATGTTCAATCTCCTCCGTAGAGAAGACCCATACTGAGCTCCACTCTTTGTATTGATGTAAACAAGAAGAGGTCTTGCATCCTGTGGCAAATCCACCAGTTTATAACTCTTAACACGACCAAAGGCACTATTAACCCCATTTTTATCCAGCAATCCATTTTGAGAACCCTTAATACTAGGTTCTCTATCATTCTTCTTCAATAAGTGGTCACTGTTCTTTCCATTGGATGACTTATCAAGATCAAGAAGCTCATTAAGGACATATGCAGGAGCTATATTTTCACCAGGGACATCCTTGATTTTAAAGCTAGGGGAGTCATAAAAACCAGAACGAGTGTTTCCACTTTTGTTTCGTTGGCGCCTTCTCCTAATTTGTCCATGATAGGGTGAAGCTATAATTTCTTCAGTGAGAGAATTCAGCGTTCCACTGGTAGTGGTTGCCTCATCATTTTCTTTCACAGAGAGTGGAGAAAGGATAAGCCTTCTAAAGGGACCCAAATCACAAATATTACCTGATTCCTTTGCCATTTTGGGATGACATTTAACATGTATAAAGCGTTGACACCATAAGCAATGCCAGGTAGGAGATGCATCCAGAAGAGGAACACAACATGGTTCATCACAGTAGTAGCAGAAAGCAGACATCTCAGAGTTCTCCTCAAAATTAATCCATCGTTCTGACCAATGATGCAACAGATTTGATGAGCCAGCTTGAGCCACACACTTGCAACCCTTTGCTGCAAACTGGGAACAATAGAAATGTGCTGCTACACCACAAACAGAGCACCTATGAAGAGGAACGTGCGGTGCTACTTTTACACCTAGAGTTTGTGAGGACGCCAGGGAAGCTAAACACACACAGCATGTGGACGGCTGCTCCCCATAAGAAAGGTCTTCTATCCATGTATGATGCGATAGAGGAACCTTTAATCTCTTCCAAACTTTTTTCTTTGCCTTTGCTGCAGCTTTAACCCAGTTCTGTGAGGATTTTTTCTGCCACTTAAGGAATGCATATATAAGAGCAAGAAGTCCGAACGATCCAGTTACCAACCATCCAAAAATAAAACGTCCTTGACCATCTTGGTTGGTAAGGATCCTCAGGAACGAAAAATACAAATCTATCATTGCCAACCTAATTTACTTTTCTCCGCTTAGTTTTTCTACTCATTCAACAGTGTCCAGCATCAAAGAAACTTTGAGAGGGATACCTGAAAACACAAAGCGTGTGTTTAGAAAATATCCACTTAGGAATATGAAACTAAGAAAACATACAACACTAGAAAATGAAATAAAAAAACAAAAACCAGAAAATAAAGCGTGTGTTTAGAATATCACCACTTGGGAATATGAAATTAAAAGAACAGACAACACTAAAAAATGAAATATAAAAAAGAAAAAAAAAACAGAAACCAGAAGATACCAGGAATGAAAAAAAAAAGTAAGAGGAGAAAAGACCATTGAGGTTTGCAACCATTATCACTCTTTTCTTGTGTAACTCAGAAGATAACCTTTAAAATGAATGGGATTAGCACCGCAGAAACATGGCTTCTAATGGAAATATCTTAAAATAGAGTCCAAATTGTTTTATTGAATAAAATGATCTTCCCAAATCTAATAACTTTTGACCTTGTTTTGTCAAACTCAATGAGTAGGATTCACATGGCATTACTAGGTTCTGCAGCAAAATTGATAAGAAGCAGAACCATGAGATCTTATGTCAATATGGGAACAGCTGGATATTGCAAATAACACGAAGCTGACAAAGGTGTCTGACTCAAATATAAGAAGCTCCGCTGGTAGACCAATATGACATGACAATGTAGACTCTTTCTTTTTTAATTCATAACTTGATTTTAATCACCTAGCATTTTCTTTCAAATCGGTCGATTTATCATATTGCGATCTCAAAGCAAAAAACTAAACTTTTTGCTAACTAAATATCCATTCCGAGAGAACAGCAAAATGACAAGGAAACAGGCTTCTACAGAGCAAATTGGGAATTGAAATAATAGAAAAATGGCCAACGAGAAATCCCATGCAAAACCATTTAGAATAACTACAAAAAATTATTGCACCGCAAATCGCAAAGTCGATGTAAAACTAATCTTACAGGAAGAAAGCATCGGAAAACACAATAATCTGACAATTCCAGAAATTGATACAGATCTCCAATGCAAAACCATTTAGAATAAATCTATAGACGAAAAAAAAGAGGACCTGAACTACACCAGATCAGGTAAAAATCTGCACGTAAGCCATACAAAGAAACATGAATTCGATGCGAGCCGAATAAAACCGAAACGGACCAATGAGCCAATTTCTCGCACCAGAACCCCAAAAAGCTTCAATTGCAAACTCCTAAACAGAAAGGAAATCCCAACCAAGACCTAAATGAAATTCACAACAAACAATAACACACGAAACCAAAGACATAACAGAGAATTCAAAATAACATCCACCGCGCCACGCAATTCAAACTTCAACGACTCAAATCGGATCACAACCAACACAATATCAAACAAACCAAGCTCGACCAGAGGGACCTATAATTAACCATTACGCGTACAAATTGAAAGGTTTTTCTTTTTCTTCCAATGAAATAACCTGGTGAAGTTGAAGAGAGATTCGGAGAAAGAAACCCTAATTTGGTTCTCTAGTTTTATATCTCGCTGCGTGTTCTGAGCCCCTCGCATTCTTCGCATTCAGCATTCTCTCACGTTCTCTGCGTATCGCTAGCATGGTCTCTTCTTCTTGCCTTTCATTCGTTCCCTTTTTGAAATTATAGAATAACAAAAAGTAAGACAAATTACACAATTCTGCACTAAATTTTGGGTTAGTGACATTTAATCCCCCAAACGTTCTTTTGAGAAAATGACCCACCCTGAAGATTCAAACACTTTGACTCTACCGTTAACATTCTCTGTTAATTAATTTAAAAAAGATTCTCATGTCAATGTCACGTGCATGTTTAAATATTATTTCCTAAGACCATTTTTTGTAAGGAGTTCGACTATGATGCATTGATGCTACGAAAAAAAACTTAGTAACCAATCAATCGACATCATACACTAAAAAAAAGAGAAAAAAAAAAGAAAGAAACAGGTATCATAAAGGTGAAAACCAATTGGGTGGGTTTTCATCAAGGAGTTTTGGTTGGTCAAATCCTTTCTAGAATCATAATTTTTTATTTTTGTAAAATATTGATAAAATACAAAAAATAGGAAATTGCAAAAAAAAAAAAGGAACTTCAACAAAGAATGAATAAGAAAAATATAAAAAATCACAGAAAATATAAAAAAGAAAAAGAGAAAAATAGCAAAAAAAAATGTAAACAAAGAAAAAGAGAAAAATAGCATAAAAAAAATGTAAACAAAGAAAAAGAGGAGAGAAATCTATGATGTACAAAGAAAAAGAGGAGAGAAATCTATGATGTGGAAAAAACATGATACCAAAAGGGCTTTGACCAACAAAAAACCCTTGTTGGCATTCTTTAAATCCAAAAGAATACAAAAGTTTTAAATGGGCATTTTCATAATCTACACACACAAATCTATCTATCTATCTATCTATCTATCTATCTATATATATATTATAGGATGTGCCATGTTAGCACATCTCTCCTTACTCCCCCATCGCTTTACTAATTTCTTAGAATTTTGATTTTATTTTCTTTAAATCCATGTAATACCTATGAAGTCTAAAGACGTGTCCGGCGTAGAGGTTTTGGTTTTAAACCTTAGGTATTCCAAATGTCTGAGATCGTATTCTCTCTCTTTTTTTTTTTTCTTCATGTTTTGTACAGACATTTTAGAGTAGAGATAGTTGTAAAGCATCTTAGATAGTTGTAGAGATGGTTCCAAATTATTGTAGAGATAGTTCCAAATGTCTGAGATCATCTTCTCTTTTTTTCATGTTTTGTTTTTCTTCTACTTATTCCAACTCTCAAATGAATTATTTTTTTTTGTTGCGGAGTTAGTTTGAGAATATTTTTGCAAAGTTTTCTTCAAATCCATGTTTGATTCTTTTTATTGGGTTAACATTCTTGTTCAGCTTTGTTTTCAATTTGGTAGCAACATTCTAGGTTTGTTTCTTCAGGCTTGTTTTGGCATTAAAGTTTGGTTCAAGTTCAGTTCTGGTGTTAAAGTTGCAAGGAGAATAAATCGGGTATGGCTTATATAATTTCTTCAAAATATAACGTTTTTGTGTGTTAAAATCGACAAAAATTGTTTTTGACACCTGAACCAACTCACTAGAAGTCAAGTATCCAAAAAAAAAAAGCCGAAAATAGAAAAAATAAATCGGGTTGTTTTAGGACCCATTTTAACATGTAGGTGAAGAAGACACAACTTGTTTTTAAAAAAACCACTTGGGCTATATAGGTCTAAACCTTATATTACACGGGTTTATTTTTATTCATTTTAATAATAATAATAATAAGATTATACAGACCCCCTGTACTATGGGGTTTGTGACAAAGTCCCCTTTGTACTTTTTTTTTTTTTTTTTTGCGATAAAGACCCCTCTGAAGCCTACCTAAGAGCTAGGCCAAAGCCTTGGGCCCAGGCCCAGCCCGAGGACTGAAAATCCAAGTTTAACCTATGTAAAAATTCCGGGCTGAATTGGTTCAGACTTAGTTTCAACATGCCCAAATTGCATCCTCGTATGCCTTTAAAAAGAATGGACTGTGTCCAAACAACTCCTAACCTAATCAATAATCACATAGGAACATAACCACCCAACAAGGTATACATGTGACACCATTAATCCGGCCAGGCTGGTGGGTCATCAGGATCAGATGGTTTCGGGGCGGTTTGTAGGTCCTTTCCATACTTTTTTGCATGCTCTCCTAATAAATGTTTATGTCATAATTGTAGGTTCATGATTTGATTCAATTAATATGCAATTTTTTGTTTTTTAAAATGTAATATTTTTAGTATATGTTTGTCATCGATGATAAGAAAACGGTGTCTTTTTTTTTTTATTTGGAAACATTGTTGTTAGATAGGACGTTTCCTGGAACAACAACAATACTTTCTGTTTGGTACCAGTGCTTTATAACTGTTTTCAGCACTGGTACCCATTATAGAAAGTCCATATCACTGCCACATCATGTCCTTATTGGCAACAATGAGTTGCAATCTAAGAAAATGTCAAATTCAGTGTTGGTCTAAATCATTTTATGGAAAAATGGTTCCAAATATATTAACGTTTTTTGATACACCATTTTTTCTGATGTGGCGCTAATGTGTCACCGTTTTCTGGAGCAATGGCATCGATGCCAAACATATGCTTAATTTTGGAAAGTTATTAATATATTTTCTAAAATTCCTTTAAAAACTTTTTTCATCTTCTTTTTTTTTTAAATTTTCTCTTGTTTTCTATCAAACCAAATCACAGCCTTAGAAAGTAAGACTATATTTAATTGAGAATCAAATCAAATTAACAATCGGGAGGGTTTATTGAAATTAAAATACTATACATATATGGATCACACAGAGGTGTAAAGTATATAGAAACACTGAACGAATGATGTTGGCGTTATTGAAGGTATGATCAATGACTATTATACAAATCTTTTCTCTTCCTCTAACCCGGATCTCTCTACTTTTAGAAGAGGAGTTAACTTCTTTTATTAAAGATCTTTTTAGGAACCCTTCCAAAATTTCTGATATTAATGAAACAAATGTGGTGCTGATCCCCAAGAAGTATATAGAGTTGAAGAAATCCAAGATTTCAGACCTATCGGCCTAACCCATGTGGTGTACACAGTGTTACTAAAATAATCACTCATAGACTCAACACCCCTTTTCAAACTTGGAAGGTAAATTTGGGATAACAGGGTTATTGCATTTGAAATTGTACACTCTCTAAAGAGGAAGAAGGGTAGAATTGGTGATTTTCTATTGAAAATTGATCTCTCAAAAGCTAGGACAGAATAGAGTGGGATTTTGTGATCAAAATTCTGAAACTATGAGGATTCTCAGACTACTACTGTTCTCTCATCAAAAATTGCATTTCTAATGTCCTCTCTCTCCCTATTTATTTATTCTTGGGAAAATCTATAATGGGGGAAAGATATGATGATATGGGAAGAGTTTTGACCAATCAAAACCCACCTATGAATTTTGATAAATAAAACCTGATTGGCTACCACATTTATGATACCAGTTGATTGATAATATTTTTTTCAGATATCATATATTTCCGATATCATCGAACCCTTTATTCTTTGCTCTGATATTCTATCAAGATTACTTGACAACTGGTCTTAAGTTTGGTGCTACATGTTGCAAGCTTAAGATTTATCCAAGTAAGTGTTTCTCAAGAAAGATTTATTCAAGTAAGTGCATTTATTCATGTTCTTTTATTTCCCATGTAAATAAGACAATGGCCATTTTAGCCATAAAAATATAATATTAAAAGGGGTATTTTTGTCCCATTCAAGTGTTGACAGCTTTCCCCCCAAGTGGGAAAGTTATTTACCCACCTAGGAGATGGGTATCATTTACCTGGATAAGTGATACCCAAAAAAATAAACTTTCCCTAGTCCCCACATAACTCTGAAAAAAGAATATGGGTTTCTTGGTCAATGGGAATCAAAATCCCATTGACCAACTTTCCCCCTCTCAAAATCTAGAAAAAGAACGCCCCCTAAGTGGTTGTCCCAATCTACTCCATAGTTCTTCAGCCTAGATAGTGTTTGGGCAGGGTTTATTGGTCTTCCTTTTGGCAATTTAAGGGAATGACTCCTCAGATCCAACTCTTTATCCCAAGGTCCATCCACCATTGCATCCCTTTTAAACCACTTATTTTTTCAAGGGTAAATATTATAATTACCCTTATGGTTTAGTGAATTGACTAAATGTACTCTCATTGTTTGAAAATTGACTAATGCTACCTCTAATATTTCTGACAATTCACTAATACTTCCCTTACTACTAACACTCCCCAATTTTCCATTAACAAAAAGATAAAAGGGCTATTTTACCCTTTAGATCTGTTTCTGCTCAACAATCATTGCTCGTGAGAGGATCTATTGCGCTAGGTCTCTGTCTTTGACCATTGTAAAGCCGATGGCCATGCAAAACCCCTATTTCTCTATCGGAAGTACAAAAACACACGAAGCAGAATTCAGAATTCCAGCCCCCCCTACTACTAGTCCTCTGCCCCCTATAAATCACATCCTGCCCGTGAATTTGGCATCAATTCACAGTCAGATGCATTCCCCCTTTACTTTGGGGCTAGAGAATTCTGATCTGGGCTGATTGATACTTCTCCCTTCTCTATCTCTTTCTCTCTCTCTCCTTTTTTCCCCATCGGCCTCCCCCTCTTTATCTCTCTCCTTCTTTTTCCCCATCATTGTTGGGTTCTTGAACAGAGTAACAGAAAATGAGAGCTTCAGCAACCGTTGAATGTTGTAGTGGTCACCGGCTTTTGGAGAGCTTCAAAAAGATGAACAGGGGAGATCCGCTACTGTTCTCCGTTGCTTGGTCCGGCCAAAACTCATAGGGAAAAAAGGAGAAGGGGAAATCCAGCTTCATCATCGACGCAATCACCATCTACCTTTGTTGTCTCCTACCCACCACAAAACTCTGATGCGGTTTCGTCGTCATCGTCATCATCACCGAAGAAGACGACAGTGTTTGTATCGATAACAGTAGCAGAAGAGCCGGTAGGGTTCAGGGAAGGGGCAGACAAGAATTGGTAACCGTGGAGCACCAGGGAGATCATTCAGTTGTCTGCTAGTGGACGGTCGTCAATATC